CTGTTAGTAATTACACAAGGTGATAAATTGGAATTCCTTTAATTGTCTGTAACAATTTCATATATTAAAACACCCCAGTTTTCTTGTTTGCTAGTCAGTAATAGAGATGTCCTATGCTTGTCCTTAAAATGGACTGGTCTGGAAATGCTACACCTATCCCTTGAGCATTTTAAGGAATTGCAAACACATGATTGGGAGGTTGAAATGAATGAGTTGCTACTTGTGGTCAGGTTTTTGTTCCTATCAAACATATTTAAGAAGTAGTTCCCTAATCCCAGGAAATCTGACTGCATCTTCACACGTTCTGTTGTGCAAGTTAAAACTACCACTCTAACACTTTTAAGGTAGTTTGATATTAAAGACAAAAAAAACCCAACCCCACCCACCAGATGTGTGGGTAATAGTGGTGGTGGTGAAATTAGAAGATATATATTCATGATACAATCAAAAATTGTGTCAATGCTGAGCTTTAAAACACCGAAGAAAATAAATACTGTGTGGCTGAACCTATTAATTAACACAAGTACTTAAGCAGGAAATATTTGTGTATATCAGTTCCATTTGTTTCTCTCTCCATAGATCATCACTTCAAGTGAACACCTCACCCACCATTGTGGGTTTCCTTGCCTTCTCTCAATGGCAGCTCTCTACTCAATAAAGCTACGCCAATGGTCATCCTCATCCAAAAATGCTATTCTTCCCACCTTCTCTTCTTATTGTAATTGAATATCTACATTGAAGACTTGCAGGCCATAGCCTTTGCTGCCATAAATCGGCATAATTTCCTTGACCCCAGTGGGATACTATTGACTTACACCAGCTGAAAAAAGCTCTGGCCCATTCCTTCTCCCCATTCCTCCCTTCATAGCTGGTAAGGAGCCAAAAGCTTTCTTCACCTCAAGTACTCCCACTTACATCAGAGAAAGCCTTGTCATTCTCTAATTCAGTTTCCACAAAATGTCATGTTTTTCTTGTTCCGAGTACATACCTTTCTTGCTTAGGTCTGCAGATGTTCCCAGCCAAAGATGATGACTTCCTGCCACACACAGCTGAGTCCATATATTTCCACTCTTCACTGTGAAGAATCAGTTGTTCATCTGAGCATTCTGCTTAGCCTATGTGACCTCATTATCACATCCAACTGATTAATTGTGCTACACCAATAGTAATCTGCCAACACACACAGTGCTGGAAGAAAGTTGGGTTTTTGTTAAAACTCACAGCTGAGAGCAATGCAGTGTGAGGGAACTCATTGTTCATAAAGTGAGATAAATACAGACAAAGAATGGAAGGAATTATGTAGGAACTAGGTGATAATTTATTTATAGATCTCTGCAGAAACACTGAAGCTAGCAAATATACCATCTGTTAAACAGTCGTACTATTCCTAAGTGCATATTAGCAATCTAAATGTGTGCCAAACACCTGATCTTAGCGATCTTGATACTCTTTTTGACAAGCAACATTATGCTTTATTAGATTGTCATGTTATAAAGCTGTGCTAGGTAACAGTAACTGGGAGAACGGAGAGGTTGTGCTCTGTTGGTGTAGATGCCCACTCAGGGCAAAGAGAAGTGGTTTTGAGAAGCAGCCAGATTTTCAGAATAACAAGAGCAAAGTAGAATATCAAAGTCTATATTCATCTTCAGTTGCTTTGGTTTTGGGGTTTTTTGTTGTTTTGTTGTTTTTTTGTTTGTTTTAACATATATTTAGCACATTTCAGATTGCACTGAAAATACACACAACCCCATGGGGGAAAAATGGACACAAAAAAAAACTTTTGGGCAAAAAAACCTGCTTCTAGCAAAAACATTACTTCTGATGGTCCACCTCATTCCTCTGTTTATGACCCTGGACTACATAACCAAGATAGACAATTTTATAACTCTTTATTGAATCCCATCTGAATGAGGTGTCATAATATTTCATAGGAGATACTGCCTGCCTGGAGAAGGTTTCCAATAAAGATGACAACAGAAGTAAGACCGACTCCCCTCATGAGCTATTTTTACTCATTTCACTTTGTTTTACTCTTTCAGAAATTTTTTTAACATGCAATGGTTCTTTAGTACAGAGAGAGACACTGAATAAATTTATTTTGTACAATTATCTATCAAAATCAACTTCAGATAGAGAAAAACACATTCTTGTTTAGACCTACTAAATTTTTTGGGGGTGGGGCTTTCTAAAAGAGGCAGTGTAATGACCTCAAAGTCAAGCACTGGAATGGATTGCCTAAAGAAAATGTCTATCTCTAGAGATCTTTAAAAATGGGTTAAATAAGTATCTATTCAGAAGGACATAACATACTTGTACCTGTCATGGACCAGAGGAATACATTAAATGACCATTTATGTGCCTCCCTATCTACTTTTTTATACCTATGATTCACTACTAAGCATAATGGGATGAAAATCTCTCCAGCACTGGGAAAAGCTGAGCTGCGTTGTATAACTGAACTATAAACCTGCTATGAAAGAACTTGGACTCTTGCACACAGACTTAGATATTCAATTTCAGGTTGAAAAGTCTAGATTAAAAAAGGCAAAGTCCACTTTTTCCCCTCATATAATCAAAAGTAGTCCTGCTAATTATAAAATAGTGGATCCCATAAGAGATCTAGTACTACTGCTTTTTCGATATTTAGATCAGGGATACTTGTCATGATTTTAAGGGAGAAACACAGACAGGTGATGCCATTTCTAAAATTAGAGTAAAAGTGATACCATGACATATCATGTCATTAAACTAAGAATTGCTACTAGCAACTTATTACTTTCCAAAATCTATTCCAATTTCAGAGTAAAGTATTACATAGTTAATTCTGAATTGTCATGAAAACCTTTTGCTACTGCTGCACCATGCTTCCTTTTTTTGCGCCCCCCCCCCCACACCCCCTTCTCAGGTGCCTCATAACAAGTGCCATTTTGTTCTCAGCAAAGTAGCAGACCTGATTTACCATCGCAGAAAGCATTGGAAACCACTAGTTATACTGCATATATTTTCCATGCAGCCCAAGAGTTTTGTTTTTTCTTTAAACTTCATTTATAAACAGCACAATCTGCGTCATATTAGCAGCTCAAGGAAAGTGATAAGAAAGGGAAATGGGGCCGTTTTTGTTGCTAGTGCCTGAATCTTAAAAGATCTGAATGTTTTGCACCTTTCCAATCTTTTTTTTTCCTATTTATTATAATAAATAGGAAAATTTGAGGATGGGTTCCCCCCCCCCCGCCAAAGCTGGCCCCTTCTCCCAGTGCACACAAGCCTCAAGGCAGCCAACCCAAGCAAATCCCCATCTAATGTCTTGACACTTGACCCAGGGGCCACTTTTCCACACAAATATTTTGTGCTGGCTGCCTTGTCAGAAAATGCTTAACCCACAGGAAAGAAAAGAAAAAGCTGATAAATTTTCTCAGACTGAATTTTCAGAATAGGTAAATACATCCATGCATTTGGAAAACGGACCACTAAGTACCTTCTAAGTATGAATCCAAACTCCACTTGGTCATATTACATCCATCTACTGTTTCCTTTTCCAATTAGTATTACAGGATGGAATAAAACTAAGTAAATACTTTTTTTTTTGGCCTTTCTTGTCTTTTTTTTTGTCCCTCTGGACTACCCAGAGTGCAAGACAGAGATCCAGCCAGCAGACAATTAAAAGGACATCAGAGTTTAAAACACTTTCCCAGTGTATTGACAGGTACCATCTATTGTGGCTATGACAGCGCAAGGAGATGCTACAGCTGCCTAATTCAATTCAGTCACCTCTGAGAAGACAAGGTCTTCATAGGAGACCAATATACAGGAGATGAAGAGGAGAAAAAGAAAAATTAACTGTGTAAAGTTCAACTAAGGGGGAGAAAATTGATATATTGACATAAATAGCTGAGCCTGTACAGGTAGTAATCATTATTGTTTTGACCAACAAGAACTGTTTCTCTCTATTGAACTCTGGATCAGGTAGTTGTTCAGCTGACAAAAAATGGAACAATTGTTTGAAACAAGAATCTGCAGCAAGGTAAATAAAATAAGCTTAAGGCAAGCAGCATACAATGCTATGGAATAAAGATTTTAAGGGGAAGCTGATATTATTTATTATATTAAAACAGGTGTGGAACTTATTTCAAGCAATCAATTGCCAAAGTACTCTGACAAAAGTAGTATGTCTTCTCATTAGGATGAGAACTGAATCAAAAAGACCCATGTATTGTGTCAGGTTTTGTAACTGAATTATTTAAAGGGAATAAGATTGATAAAAATACTTCCACATCTCAGTGAAATGCAAGAAAGCAGAAAAGATTGAGTGTGATGTTGGATTCAGTAAAAAAAATAATTAATAGCCATAAAAATCACTTATGGAATAGTCATGGTCATGTTTATAAGAGAATATTCCCCAAGCCATCACATGATTTCCTTCTGAAAGTATCCTCTTCCTTCCCTTTAAAAACAGTGCTAAAGTTTTTTCAAGTCAATTAAAACGTATCTACTTACTGCAGCCAGCTTTAGGACAGGACAGACTGGTTAAGAATACAACATACTCTTATCATCATTTAAGCACACGCTCCGTGGGAGTCCTGATGATGTTTAATTATCACTTGTATATATAGAACAGCACACCTGCTTTTTATTTCCATACAAAAGGAAACAATGCAAAATGCTTTTTTCCTATTCACGTAGATTAAAAGTCTAGTAAGTTCCAAAAAATTATGCTAGAAAAAGTTATGGAATAACACTCTAGCTTTGCAATTAGGAATTGTAAATGCAAACTCACAAGGTTAGAGTATAAACGCTTTATTTCATGATTGCCAGAGGACTAAATACTAGGTTGGACAAGCTGGTTTTCCATACTGTGTGGCAATTCACATACCGAGATTATAGTACGCTCTTGAATACATGAATATGTTCTTGAGCTACGTAAGCATTGCACAGCTTGGGGTACAGTTATGTATAAATCTGATAGATAATAACTGGGTCTTCTTTTCTCCTTCTCTCTCAAGATCTTGAAAATTTTGAAACAAAACCAAGAAGCACAGTGTCAGTCCGAGAAGGACAAGGAGTGGTTCTGCTCTGTGGTCCTCCACCACATTACGGAGGTACGACCAATAGCCCTACGTTGTGTGCAGCCTCAACGTTAACTGCTATAGCTCAGGAGAAGTAGTCTATGAGGTTACCTGCCTGATTAGTGCTGGAATTCATTTGTGCATGAAGCGTATGGGTTTACAACAAATTTGGGTTTCATTTCTTTAAAGTGGGGTTTGCACTTCTTAAGGGGCCCTTTTATTATTCTGTGATTACTTGAGGGACTAGAACACATCATCGCTCTTCAGGTGTGACACAAGCAAAGAAAGCACAAAGGTAAAAGACTATCTCCTGACATGGCTGGTTATCTCAGCTCCTTCACCCATATGGAATGGCAGAAGAGCAACCAACAGTATTTTTTTTCTACATTAAAAACACTTCAGGTCTGAATGACTTTTTTGCCTTTTAGTGCTTGCTACTTCAATGCTATAATTTGAATCCTACATTTTACACATTGGATTTGTCTTGAAAATTTGTCTTCTGTTCTCAAATTCCTGATAATCATCAAAACTATAGAAAAATTTAGATTGGAAGGGACTTTGGAGTGGTAAACTCTCTGACCAAAGAGATCCAATTAGGTCAGGTAAAGAATGAAAAGGATTTTTCTGGGAATTGATTTGGGCATGCCTTGCATCTGTTGCCATTGCCTACTACTGCACCTTAACCATAAGGCTGGTTTTGAGGTCTTCCTTTCTGGAAGAGGTAAAGTCCAGGTGACAAGCAACAGACCAGTAATGCAATTAGCATAATGTTTCAGACTTTTCATCTAAGACAACCCTAAGCACAGGGCACAATTTTTCTTTTCCTTCTTTTAATAGGTGTACTACCACCTCCAACATAAGCATTTGCAGAGCAATACAAAGGCTTGAACATGTACATTCACTGCTGTCATTGTTTCTTAACACTTTTTCTACCTACCAGAAGTGAGAATTTCTTGAGTGATCTTTTGATCTTAATTTTTTTCTCCCCCACATTGACTCTTGCAAGTTCACATAGACATTCACGAGTCTCCTCCAGGGGTGTTAGAACCCAGATCAAAACAGCTTCAGATCTTCTGAAGCCTGGAGTAAGAACTATGGTTTCCGAACATAACTAACTGAAGATGATTGGAAATTTTACCCTGGAAAAGCAAATGTGTATTAAAAAGGGGAAATATCAACAGCATAGTTATGAAATTGTCTTGTTCTGGACTGAAAGAATCAGATTTTAGATGACTCATGTCCTGCTTTCAGCAGGAGTGACCACACATCCATAGGCATTGCAGTTTTCTGCTTGCTGGTGCCAACATCCTGCTCTCAACCATGTTTCCTCAATTCTTCTTAAAGAAACAGAGTTATAAGACAAATTCCCATGAGAAGGTAAACAGTGATCTACAAAGAGGATGCAGTATATCAGAGATGTAGAGAAACCCATCAATCAATTTAAAGCCCGCAAGTCTCGAACAGAGAGGAAATGTCAGTTCCCTTAGTGTTTACAGCCACATGAAAGTATATAATCAAGGAAATGAAGTAAAACCTGGTCCTTAAGGGCAAAAAAGGCTTGAAAGAGTTCCTGAAATGTATCAATGGGACAGACAGAAAGACACAACATCCATCCTTGAGTCAGTAAGCTATATATTTTCCTCTTACTGTAGGGTAAAATTATGATTTGACAAATAGGAATGAGTAGAAGAAAACATTCAGAACAAATAAATAGTTAACAAGCGAGTTCACCCCAGATTAATTGAACTGACAAAGTGGTATCCACAAACAAAGCCTTCACCACAGCATTTCTTAAGCTGGAGATGTGAGCTGTTGACCAATAGGCCTGAAAAAATACATTATCTGAAATAACAAGTCTCTAGAGAACAGAAACAGAGTTCTTTTGTCATCCATAAACACTGTATTTGTGATCCAAAATTACATGCCATGAGGATGAAGTACATGGTGTGAACTATGATAAGCTATATACTATCTCAGGATGCTTAGGAAGTTGTTTTTATTGAAGAGGATTCTATATTTAGTTCTTTTTTTTAATTGAAACCCTTGCCTCTGAACTCACAATACCTACAGGAGAAAGGATTACTAGCCTTGCATCCAGCTTCCATTGCAAGTGTTCTGTATAGTACTTTAAGCGTGACAGGAATTACATAGAGGAATATGGAAGATATACTATACCAGCCGGAAAAGAGTTGCCTTTCCTATAATAGCAATGTAAGTAAGACAATACAAGCTGTATAATGTGTCTTATACACTAAGAAACAAAATTTCTCTTTAGAATTTCCTACGCAACTTAGTAGATACAGCCCATAACCAATGCAGACCTTTTGCTAGTATGAGCATTTACAGGGAAACTGAGGTTAACTCTTGGGTAGAAAACACTGACTGTGCTCTTTGAAAGAGATTATCCATGTCATTGAAGAGGCACACAGGGGAGCCAGCGCAGAGAGATGCAGCCCTTCCGGCTCTCCTTCCTATTGACCAGCTGCTTCCTTCCCCAGGACAAGTCACTTAACAGGCCTGGCCCTACCCATACGCTGTACAGAGGGAAGAGTAACATGGTCCTGATGGTGACTGGTTTGCTGTCCTTTGACATGAAGGAAGACTGAAAACCTCCGTGAGGCAGTCATTTGAAGCAGCTATCATTAATATAGCTATTTTGGAACAGGATGGACTAGCTAAAGCTTCCTGCTAGAAAGTCTGTATCTGCTTCTTTCCACATAACACTGAGAAGCAGGAATAGGTAGGTAGAATGAGAGCTCCAGAAATATTTCTTCCACCTATGTTATTTAGAGAAATAGTTCACTTCTCTTTCTACCTCACACTACAGAGGCCAGCACATGGCCAAGCTTATCTGGCCCTATACCACAAACAACCCAAAGTTAAATTTTCTGCCAGGTTCACAGGAAAGAAGGCTCTACAGTTATCACTTGATCACTCGGTTGTCTGTCATATACCACAAACATTTTTCTACATTCAAAGTATTTAAAACATTTAAAGCTTAAGTTAAACTGGATTTATTTTCCTGACAAGAACAGCTATGCTACTGTTTGCTTTGTATACATGCTTCTTAACTCAGGGTGTATTGATAACCTATTTTTGTTTATACAAGAAAAATAAGTTATTTCACTCTAATAGGGGATAGAAAATATATTATGCAGCTAAGTGATAAGGAACAAGAAAGAAGTTCAGAAGAGTTGCTCCAACGGCCTTCACATGAGCTTTAGACCTTAAACTAACTCTCAAAGAACAAAAGCCTTATGGAGTCACTGTTAAAGCTATACTGAAACCTTGAACACTAAAAGAGAACCTACTTTACATCGCTATAAACAAATGTTAGCACTTTTACTAAAAATCAAACACAGAAAAAAGAAAAAGATCCACCTTTTAAAGGCATAGCTTATATCAGACAAAGCAAAGCATTAAAAATTTGTTACAGTTAACAGACAAAAACCATAGCCTGTAATTAGGTTTTTAAAAAAACAAAAAACAAAGCTGCCCCATGTTACCTGACCTAGCCTGAACCCTTCATTTCCTCAGCCAGCCCCTCCTTGCCTATTTATGCACCGGCAGCTCTCCAGCCTCAGCTGTTGTTATTTATGAGGCTCATTAACACACCTTATAAAGTTCAGCATGTGACTTTCCTCTGCTTGTTAGTGAGGCTCTGGAGTGCAGAGGTGGGAAGGTAAGCTGTATTTCTTGCTCTGAGAAGTGCCTCTTCTGTAGCTTGAGTTCTTTAGGTCAGTTGTTTTTTTCCCCTATGTACTATAGTATTATTTTATTATAAAAAAATAGTGCTTTATATAGAGCTAGGATGTAGAGAAAAGTATGTAGGGAGGAGGAAGAAAGTTTGAAGAAGCCTTCATTTGTGTAGCTGTATATGAGCTTGACCTGACTGTGATTAAGGAGCTGCTGCCTAAATGGTAATACTTGACACAGGACTGTAGGGTAGGCTATTATTCATTTATTTTCTTGGAAGTGAAGGCTGATGTAAGGCCTGTTTCCTTCAAGCTGACTTCCTGCAGAGCTTTAAGGAAGTTCCTAATCTTGTTAGGAGCAGCAGGATCACTCATGTATTTGCATTTATTTGTGCATAAAAGCTGCCAGGGTTTGAAGCAGGGATGCTCAGTCTGGAGGCTTTTCTCTATACTGACATTACTATAGCAAGGCTGCATTAAAAAAAACAAAAAAACCACGTTCTTAATGAAGTAGGAGCTCTGTGGACCTGCTTAGTGGGGGAATATGTCAAATCCTCAGCCAGCAGAAGCGTGGGGAAGGAAGTGCTCATGAAAGCAGGAGATGGCAAACTACGTATGCAGAGGGGATGAGATGAGCAGCACTGCTTTATGTAAAAGGGTCTTTGACTTCTGCCTCAGGTTGTTTCTGCATTTTATATTAAACAGTCTACTTAATAAAATGCATAATATCAAAGTGAAGGCTTGAACTGTATCTCCCTTTATAAAGCTGAGTGCCTTAGTCATGGGCTTAGAGTGCCTTTCTCTCTGCTCCTGTTTCTCAATGCTCCGATGAATCTTTAATCCTTTTCTGCCAGCTCTGGCAGGAGGGGGAGAGTCTCTTCCCTGAGAGCAGCCTGTAGCTGTTCTCCTGCAGAATGAGCAGTATTGATTTGAATTTGCTTGGGCTGAGGAAAGCACTGAAATGTTATATTCCCTAGCCCAGTATATCAGGAGTGATTATCAGCTGCTCTTCTTCCTGCCTAGCTGTGCTCTGAAAGTTGTGCTCACAGCTGAGAGTGTAGGTGATGCTCTCCTGCCTGGCCACCTGCAGGACCTGCCCACCAGGCAGTGCTTGGCTGGAAGGTGAGGTGGGCTTAGCCTACTTTTGGGGGCCTCTGGGATGAGAAGGGAGACTGACACCACACAGTCACCTGCCTTGGATTAAGAAAAACCAAAACCAAACCAACCAAAACACACCATAGGATTGCAGCACTAATAAAATAGCTCCTGCGCTGGCATATGCATAATGAAGTCTCCATTGCTGTAATTATCCCTCTGCTGACATGTAGCCCCTTTGAAGTAAAGGCAGTTCTGTGCTCTCCAAGACATCTTCTCACAGAGCCAATAGCAGCATTGGGATCGCTGTCTTTTGAGAGCAAATATTATTTTCCAGTGTTCAGTGCTCAGATATGTTAATTTGGGCTGAGACCAATCAGCTGTACATGTGAAAAGGAGATGTACTGTGATATTTATTATGCTATAGCTAGGCAGAGTTAAAAAAAAAAAAATTAATTACCTGAAGGTGATTAATGTTTTTGAAGCTTGTCTCAGAAAATGCCTTGACGCATAGGTGTTAAATTAAAAAAATGAGGGTAGAAATTATATGAATAATGGTTTATTATTAGTTTTTGTGAACTAAATCCTGACACTTCCATAGTGCTCTGAATTTTATATCATCATTATTTGTAGGTCCAGATATCAGAGGGATTCTCTTTGGGCTTAAAACTTGATAAGGTTAGCAGAATTTTTTTGTAACCTAGAGGTGAATCATAGTTTCTCTCTATCTGTCTTTGGAACAAGCTCAACTTTTACTGTAAGCAATTTCCTTCAAAATATGGGGGAACAACCCCACAACAATCTGGGACTAAACTGTGCTTGTTTGGTCCATATCTAAAGCACCACTGAGTAAGGCTCACCTGAAATCATTCTAACTCCTCACCACACACAGTGGTACCCTGGGATCGGTGAATATTTCTCTGGAAGGGCTCCCTTCCCCAACCTCTCCTCTCCCTTCTGCCCCACTACATAGTTTCACCTCACATGTTTATTTTTCTAAAACATCACACATTATCTATAGTGAACAGAGCAATAGGAAAATTGGATTAATTCATCTGGTATAGAAAAACCTCTATTCCCTTACTTCAGGCTTGTTGATTCATCTTCAATATCACGTGAAAAGTGGTTACTCCGGAGGGAAAGTTACAGCCCAACAGGTCTATGGACAAAGGAAAAAAATGAAATAGAGAAAAAAAGTGCACAAAAATCTTTGCTGATAATGGCTAAGACTTGTGTAAGACATTTTATGCTGAAGCCCTTTCATAGCGGTCTGTGAAATTCAATAATTCTGACAGTCATGGGTATGTTGAAGTGTGATCCCAACTGCTATCCATTTCAGAAATCCTGTGGTTAAACAGAAAACAAAAAAAAAAACCTAAAAAAATAGCTGTAACCTTATTTGTTCTTCCATAAAATAGCTGGCAGCAGCACTTTTCAAGTTCATTTTATCTAGACTTCATTAGCAGGTTACTATCTCTTTATAATTTCCCTTCTATGCCTCTACTACCTTCTGTTCAGCATTACCTTCACCAGACTCTTCCCAGCTGCTGATTTACTCATGCAAATGAATGTAACCCTAGAAGTGATGGCATGGGCCTTTTGCTACTTTCTTTTGCTCATTCAATGGGTCTGCTCTGTATCTGATTTATTCAAAGTGACCTAAAATGGAACTGTTTAAGTAATAGTAGCTTCTTTTATAATGCAACATTAGATTTTCTGGCCTATTGCATCTGTTGATGTTGTCACTTAACTTTCAAAGAAAAGATATTGTGTAAGGGAGTAGGCTGCTAGTATTATGCCTTAGAAAAGGAAAAATGTTTGATTCCCAAAGTTTGGTTCCTTTTTCTTGAGATTTTTATCTAACTCCCACCGGAGTCAATTAAAATTAGGGTTTCTACAGAGTGTAGTGGAGTTGAATTAGGCTCTAGGCAAGTATGGCCTGCAGATTGGTGATGATGAACCTGCAGTTAGAAGAGTGGTAGCATTTGTAGCCCTTATAGTGGGGGAGGGGGGAAGGATTTAAGTATGAGGAGGGGCCTGCACTTGTTCCCAGTTAGTGGGAAAATTCATCAATAGGCCCTAAGGCAATGGTGGAGTACAGACAGGGAGAGAGTAACAAAAACTTTGGAAGATGATGTCAACTGGAACCCCCTGAGAACTGAAATCAGGACAGAAAAGAACTGGCTCTCTTTTACTGATTAATTCACAGATTGACCTCAAGAAGAATGTCTGTGTAGCACAAATTTGGTTTTAATAGAGTTTTATTAGGACTCGTATACTCTATCCTACACAGAAAATTTAGTTGCATCACCAGGTCCTACAGCAGGACTCTGTTTTTAGATT